GAAAACTGGAAACAGTGCTATTGCCTTACCTTCAAGTGAAATTGTGCGCATTAATGGCATTTTGTACTCTTTAGCTTGATAAGCGTGACTGTTAATTTTCATCTCGAATAGATAGCATTCGGAAGTCGGTATGTGATTTGTTTTCCACAATCACAAACACAAAACCATACGGAAGTCCTCAACTCAGGTAACATAATAAGGAAGTCTACTGTGATATTAAATTGATGTCCACATCAATTTTTCTGCATTTCACCCCCTTTTCCGATTTAGTTTAATGCCGTCTTCTCATCGGTGGTTTAAACGTAACAAGTTACCGCCATCAAAGAAGCCTGGCAAGGTGAAAGTCATAAACCACGCATCAGTTCGACGTTTTAAGACTTACCACAGGTGAAATGGCTTGTATTTGTTTGTCAGAAGACGTTAGGAGCAGTATTCCAGCGTCCACAAGAGGCATAACAGCTCGTCTCACCATCTCCATACGCTCTGCCGAAGACAACGCACCGCTCACATCAGGAAATAGAGCCAGCGCGAGATTTCTGGTAGTGAGTTCGTCAACGTCCATTTTATCAAACAACAACAGCGTTGCTGCACTGAGGGCGGCCAGAAACAGTGTGTACGGCTTGTCTGCACAGAACATTCGCACCTCCGCAGTGCAATGGGACAACGCCCAGCGGAGGTTTCGGCCATTGAAACTTGACGCGTAAAAAGCCTCAAACTGGGCAGAGAACGCAAGCAGATCCACAGGAAGACAGAACTGAAAGTCGTTCGTCAGGCTGATGGGCCACGCGCTCAACTAGAAACGCAGATATGGAATTAATGTCTTTAGAAATCCAAGGTCCAGTTTTTGGTAGTAACAACTCGCAAAAGTACTGGACTTGCTAAGACCTCCCCTGAATCGCATCCAATAACGAAAAACATCGACGAGCACAACTATTCACAAAAGTTAAAAGAAACGGCATTGGTGGACTATTTACCGGTAACGAAATTACTGAATCGAATAAATACCTGCGACAAATTCAACCTAGAAAACACATATTTTCCGTGTAGGTTCGACGACAAGTCATGCAGATTCGGTATTGGATAGCGACTAGGGATGGTTATTGCGTTTAAGGCGCGATAATCACCGCATGGACGCTATTCACCAACAGCTTTATTGGGAACCATATGCAGCGCTGATGACCAGTTGGACGGTGCCAAGCTGCAAAATACGTACGAACTCGCGTTTAAAAGTTGTTATCTGGTTGGGGAAAGTCGGCGAATTCAGACAGTAACAGGGCGACCGTTGGTCAAAATTTTGTGCGCGATCTTGTGCCGGACATCAGTTTGTCAGTGATTTGGATTAATTAGATCTGGGTAATTTTGCAATAAGGCCAAGCAGGGTCCGTTTTCAATCTGTAACGTTGTAACATGAGAATTGGCTGTTATTTGCAGGAGACACCTTAGAGATACTCATTAGACGTATTATACACTTATTCTTAAGGTCAAGAATAAGACCAGAGTGGTTGACAAAATAAGCGCCAATGATTGGGTGAATTACTGCCGCGATAGTGAAAAGCCAACGAACTTGGCTTCGTATTCCGAAGTCGAAGGTAAGAGATTTT